CAGAAAAAAATGTTACTCAGGGACAGACACAGAATTGTTACTCAGGGGCACACAGGAATTGTTACTGAGGGACACAGAATTGTTTACTGAGGGACAACAGAATTGTTACTTCAGGGACAGACACAGAATTGTTACTCAGGAACAGACACAGAATTGTTACTGAGGGACACAGGAATTGTTACTGAGGGACACAGAATTGTTACTCAGGGACAGACACAGAATTGGTTACTCAGGGGACAGACACTAGAATTGTTACTCAGGGGGGGGGGGGGGGGGGAACACAGAATTGGGGAAAAACAAAGTACTCAGGGACACAAAGAATTGTTACTGAGGGACACAGAATTGTTACTCAGGGTCAGACACAGAATTGTTTACTCAGGGACCCAAACAGACACAGAATTGTTTACTGAGGGACAACAGAATTGTTACTTGAGGGACACAGAATTGTTACTCAGGGGAACAGACACAATATTGTTACTGAGGGACACAGAATTGTTACTGTGAGGGACACAGAATTGTTACTCAGGGACAGACACAGAATTGTTTACTCAGGGACAGACACAGAATTGTTACTGAGGGACACAGAATTTTTACATGATGGACACAGATTTGTTACTGAGGGACACAGAAATTGTTACTGAGGGACACAGAATTGTTACTCAGGGACAGACACAGAATTGTTACTCATGGGACAGACACAGAATTGATTACTGAGGGACACAGAATTGTTACTGAAACTCAGGGACACAGGAATTGTTATGAGGGATACACAGAATTTTTTACTGGGGACACAGAATTGTTACTCAGGGGACAGACACAGAATTGTTACTGAGGGGACAGACACAGAATTGTTACTCAGGGACACCAGAATTTGTTATGAGGGGACACAGAATTGTTACTGAGGGACACAGAATTGTTACTCAGGGACAGATACAGAATTGTTACTCAGGGACAGACACAGAAATTGTTACTGAGGGACACAGAATTGTTTCTGAGGGACACAGAATTTGTTACTGAGGACACAGAATTGTTACTCCTGAGGGACACAGAATTTGTTACTGAGGGACACAGAATTGTTACTGAGAGGACACAGAATTGTTACTCATGGACAGACACAGAATTGGTTACTCAGGGACAGACACAGGGAAATTGTTTACTGAGGGGACACAGAATTGTTACTCAGGACACAGAATTGTTTATGAGGGACACAGAATTGTTTGACTCAGGTACACAGAATTGTTACTGAGGGACACTGAATTTCTGTTACTGGAGGGACACAGAATTGTTTTTGAGGGACACAGAATTGTTAATCAGGGACAGACACAGAATTGTTACTCAGGGACACAGAATTGTTACTCAGGGACCACAGAATCTGTTTAATTAAAAAGAGTATGTCAGACAACATGCAGAGAGTGGGTGCAGAGGAGGGCAATGTTTTAAGGAGCGAGCAGACGTGGGCAGCAGAGGAAGGGGTCGAGGCAGCACTAGTCGCAGCCAGAGGCCATTGCTTCCCGGTGTCATCCAGCGGTCGTGTCTCCACCGATAAACCCTGCCGTCATCGATTGGTTGGCTCGGTCGTCTTCCTCTCCCTTCCAGGTCACCTCTGACACCTACAGCCAACGGTCAGTGGGTACGTCAGAGACACAACCGTTAGTTGGCATTGGCCGGGAACAAGCCCACTGAAATCACGTGTCCTCGACCTGTCCCTGTCCTTTGGTGTTCCCTCACCAAGCAAAGTATCGCATGCTGTGGGCTCAGCCCCACTTTACCAGTGAGGACTAAGAGCTTAACAGAGGGCGGTCAGGAAACAGGGGGGAGACATCCGCCTCTTCAGCAGCCAGGCAAAGAAGTAGTGGCGAGGAGAGTGGCTCGGTAGCCGGTCTAGAGACAGGTCTGTCTCCTGACCACACCACAGCCGAGGGGGCTAGTAGTGACGGCGGGAGACCCTAATTGATGATGATGAGGCTGATCGCACTTGGCAGTCCTCGTCGTCATCAGGCTTTATTGCTTCCGCATCATCAGGAGAAGAGCGTGGCAGCTTGGCAGCGAGCAAAACAGTCGGTGGGTTGCCCAGGAGGCAGCAGGGTCGCAGCTAGTGTCAGTGAGGCAAACGGCCAGGAGTAGAGCACCAGCTCCACTGCAGCCTACCACCAACGGCCAGTAGTGGTGCCGGTGTGCACGGAGGAAGTAGCAGTCAGCCAGTGAGGAGTATCGGGGGCAAAGTTTCCTACTCGGCCGGTGGTGGCAATTTTTCGTCAAGCCCTCCCGAGGAAGTAAACGTAGCCGTATGTTCAACTATGTGGCCAGAAAGTCAAGCATGGCCAGGGGGCCCAATGTCTGGGACTACAGCGTTGCGGCAGCATATGCAGCAGCGTTCGCCATTTGGTGGGCCTGGGAAAACCGTGATAAAGATACGGCGGTTCTGCCTGCCCCAGCCCCGCATCCCATCACCCGCTCCGTTGCTTGCTCCGTCACCCGTCGTCAATCGGCCCTCTATCAGCCAGTCAAGGCTCCAACACCTCTGCTGAGGGAAGTTGTCGCTCGTTGGAATTCTTCCCCTCGTTCAGATGCTCCTTCTCCTGTACTCCTCTTCACGGGATTCCGTCAGCAGTCTTTCTTGGAATCGTTTCCAAGAGTCACAAAGTTTGCGAGCACGCACCCGACGGTGCAAAAGCTGAACGTCCCTCCTGTCCACAGTTGCTGGTGCTGCTGTCCCTCCCTTTCCAAGTGGTGGACTCAGCACCTTTCCGAGAAATGATGGCTTGTGCCGCGCCGCGGTGGAGAGTGCCAAGCCGTCATTTCTTTGCCAAAAAGGCAGTGCCAGCCCTGCATTCACATGTAGAAGAGATGGTGGGCCAGTCTTTGAGCATGTCGGTCTCTGCCAAAGTGCACGGCACAGCGCCGACGTGTGGAGCTGTAAACTACGGTCAGGGACAAGTACATGTCATTTACGGCCCACTGGGTGAACGTCGGTGCCGTCACAGCCGCACCAGCACTTGGACAGGTCACGCCGCTTTTGCCTCCACGTTTGCACGTCCTTGGTCCACAAAAATGTCCGCCTCTACCACCTCTTCTTCCTTCGTGTCCTCAGCCGCCACCCCCGTGCCAAGTCCCATTACCCGACCGGCATATCACAGTGCAAGGGACGCAACGATGTCACGCTGTGCAGCACCTGGTATGCCTTGGCGAACGTAGTCACACAGGGGAGGAAACTTCTCAGTGTAATGAACAGAGAAATCGACAGATGGCTGTCTCTCCTCCCGCCCCCCCCGCGCAAACTTAAAATCGGAACCATGTTGACCGACAACGGAAAGAACATGGTTGTCTGCTCTGCGTCAAGGAAGGTTGTGCCATGCGCCATGCATGGCTCATGTGTTTCAAGCTGGTTGTCAAGCGGTTCTAAAATCCACCATCCCACTGCAAGAACATCCTTAAAATGTCACGTAAACTTTGCATGCATTTCAGCCATTCCTACACCGCAAAGCACACCTCCCTTGATGCTGCAGCGGTCAGAACGGAATTCCCACAGCATCGCCTGATCTGCGACGTTGCAACAAGGTGGAATTCAACCTACACATGTTAGGGACCGCCTTTACGAACAGCGAAAGGCCATCACGATTTCCTGATGTTACAAGCGGATAAAGGTACTCCCTGTGTACTTCGATGTCAGCCATTGGACAGCTCATGCGTGACACCTGCCGCTTGCTCAGGCCCTTTGAGGAGGCACTCTATTCGTGAGTCGCAGGGACCTATGGGATGAACGACGTCATTCCTCTGTTGTACGTCCTGGAACAAATGCTGTTAACAATGGCTGGTCAGGGTGTGGTAGACGTGGCGCACAGATCTCAACGCCACATGACCCCTGTGGGGGCAGGACAGGAAGAAGAGGAGGAGGTAGAGGAGGACTTTGTGCTCAGGAATTATTGAGTGAAATAGGGTGGTTTTTCCACTCAGCGGACAGGAGTGGAGGAGCAGGAGCATCTGGTAGAGGAGGAGGAGGAGGATGACAGAGGACTCTAAGAGGACGTCAGACGCACCGTGGCAGTATGCTGTGGAGATGGAGGCAGGAGTCCCTCGCATTCCTTGGCACAAATGGCCCATAGCATGCTCGGTTTTATGCGTGCGTAGCGACGTCAACCGATTAATAACATCAGACAGAGGGATGACTTTTGGCTGTCCACCTTGTTGGACCCTCGCTACCGTTCAAAAAATGGTGGCCTTTTTCACACCTGTCTGAGAGGGAGGGACCAAAATAACGTACTATATAAAAAAACCACCTATGTAGTCAGTTGGTCTCTGCCTTTGTGCGCCAACGTCCATCCCTCAGACACTGTGGGCCCTGTGCGCTCGTGTGTTCCGCTGCCATGGCAGCAGGGGAGGGGTGGGGGGTGGTAGGAGCATGTGGCAGCTCCACCAGCAAGCGGCTGCCTCAGTCTGCAGTCGATGATGAGTAGCTTTCTTCACCAGCGCAGTGAGGAAACTACTAACCAGCCGCAGCAGCAGCATCAGGTGGGACCTGGAGCAGGAGCTCAAACAACAGGCTTGGGCCCCTACTTGGACAGCACCCTGCCAACCGAGGTAGACAATCCCTTGACTACTGGGGCAACGAAACTTGACCCTTTGGCCCCAACGCTAGCCTGAATTTGCCCTTGAAAGGCTGTCATGCCCGGCCAGTAGCGTGGCATCGGAGCGCGTGTTTAGTGCGGCAGGAGGTATTGTTAATCCGCGGAGGGCACGACTGTCCACCCAAAGTGTGGAGAGACTCACGTTTGTGAAAATGAATCAGGCGTGGATTAGTCTGGATTTCAATACCACCAGTTCCTGACACAACTGACTAAATCTGACTAAATCCGCCATGAATCATGCCCCAAACATGTGCAACTTTCAGGTCTCCTCACACTGCTGGTGTGTTCCATTTTTTGTCATAGGGTGCTGGCAGATTACGGGCCTCCATAGCTGCTGCCAGGCCCTAATCTGCCATGGGCCCCTGTACCGCATCCTCATGCTGCTGCCAGGTCCACAGTGTCTCATGGGTCCCTGTACGGCCTCCCATTGCTGCTGTCTCCATCGCCACACTCTGCTCCATGTGCCACTTTCAGGTCTCCTCACACACTGCTGGTGTGTTCCATTTTTTGTCATAGGGTGCTGGCAGATTACGGGCCTCCCATAGCTGCTGCCAGGCCCCTAATCTGCCATGGGCCCCTGTACCGCCTCCTCATGCTGCTGCCAGGTCCACAGTGTCTCATGGTCCCTGTACGGCCTCCCATTGCTGCTGTCTCCATCGCCACCACATCTGCCATGTGCCACTTTCAGGTCTCCTCACACACACTGCTGGTGTGTTCCATTTTTTGTCATAGGGTGCTGGCAGATTACGGGCCTTCCATAGCTGCTGCCAGGCCCCCCATAATCTGCCATGGGCCCCTGTACCGCCTCCTCATGCTGCTGCCAGGTCCACAGTGTCTCATGGGTCCCTGTACGGCTCCCATTGCTGCTGTCTCCATCGCCACACTCTGCCATGTGCCACTTTCAGGTCTCCTCACACTGCTGGTGGGTTCCATTTTTTGTCATAGGGTGCTGGCAGATTACGGGCCTCCCATAGCTGCTGCCAGGCCCCACTAATCTGCCATGGGCCCTGTACCGCCTCGTCATGCTGCTGCCAAAGACTTGGTCCAGAGTCTCTCATGGGTCCCTGTACGGCTCCCATTGCTGCTGCCAGGAGGGGCAGCAGGGTCGCAGCAGTGTCAGTGGAGGCAAAACGGCCACGGATAGTTAGAGCACCAGCTCCACTGCAGCCTACCACCACGGCCAGTAGTGGTGCCGGTGTGCACGGAGGAAGTTAGCAGTCAGCCAGTGAGGAGTAGCGCTGGGCAAAGTTTCCTACTCGGCGGGTGGTGGCAAATTTTTCCGTCAAGCCGCCCGAGGAAGTAAACGTAGCCGTATGTCGACTATGTGGCCAGAAAGTCAAGCGTGGCCAGGGGGCCCATGTTGGGACTACAGCGTTGCGGCAGCATATGCATGCGTCGCGCATTCGGTGGCCTGGGAAAACCGTGATAAAGATACGGCGGTTCTGCCTGCCCAGCCCTGGTTCCATTTTGTCATAGGGTTCTGGCAGATTACGGGCCCCTTGCTGCTGCCAGGCGGCCTTAATCTGCCATGGGCCCCTGTACCCGCCTCCTCATGCTGCTGCCAGGTCCACAGTGTCTCATGGGTCCCTGTACCGCCTCCCATTGCTGCTGTCTCCATCGCCACACTCTGCCATGTGCCACTTTCAGGTCTCCTCACACTGCTGGTGGGTTCCATTTTTTGTCATAGGGTGCTGGCAGATTACGGGCCTCCCATTGCTGCTGCCAGGCCCGTAATCTGCCATGGCCCCAGTACCGCCTCCTCATGCTGCTGCCAGGTCCACAGTCTCTCATGGGTCCCTGTACGGCTCCCATTGCTGCTGTCTCCATCGCCACACTCTGCCATGTGCCACTTTCAGGTCTCCTCACACTGCTGGTGGTTTTCCATTTTTTGTCATAGGGTGCTGGCAGATTACGGGCCTCCCATTGCTGCTGCCAGGCCCGTAATCTGCCATGGGCCCCCGTACCGACTCCTCATGCTGCTTCGCCAGGCCCGTAATCTGTCATGGGCCCCTGTTGTCGCTTGTTGGCATATTCCCGCTCGTTCAAGATGCTCCTTCTCTGCTACTCCTCTTCACGGATTCCGTCAGCAGTCTTTCTTGGAATCCGTTTCCAAGAGACAACAGTTTGCGAGCACGCACATGCGCGGTGCAGAAGCTGAACGTCCTCCTGTCCAAGTTGCTGCTGCCAGGCTCGTAATCTGTCATGCGCCCCTTTACCACCTCCTCATGCTGCTGCCAGGTCCAGAGTGTGTCATGGGCCCCCCCCCGTACCGACTCCTCATGCTGCTGCCAGGCCCGTAATCTGTCATGGGCCCCTGTACCGCCTCCTCATGCTTGCTGCCAGGTCCAGAGTGTGTCATGGGTCCCTTCGTACGGCTCCTGCATTGCTGCTGCCTGGCCCGTAATCTGCATGGGCCCCTGTACCGCCTCCTCATGCTGCTGCCAGGTCCAGAGTGTGTCAATGGGTCCCTGTACGGCCTCCCATTGCTGCTGCAGGCCCGTAATCTGCCATGGGCCCCCGTACCAACTCCTCATGCTGCTGCCAGGCCCGTAATCTGTCATGGGCCTGTACCGCCTCCTCATGCTGCTGCCAGGTCCAGAGTGTGTCATGGGTCCCTGTACGGCCTCCATTGCTGCTGCCAGGCCCGTAATCTGCCATGGGTCCCCTACCAAACTCCTCATGCTGCTGCCAGGCCCGTAATCTGTCATGGGCCCCTGTACGCCTCCTCATGCTGCTGCCAGGTCCAGAGTGTGTCATGGGTCCCTGTACGGCCTCCCATTGCTGCTGTCTCCATCGCCACACTCTGCCATGTGCCACTTTCAGGTCTCCTCACACTGCTGGTGGGTTCCATTTTGTCATAGGGTGCTGTATGGGCCTCCCATTGCTGCTGCCTCCACCGCCACACTGTGGCTCCACACTCTGGTTTTGGCCCCGTGACTGCCCAAATGAGTGAAGTGTGCGGTGATTCTAAGATCGACGGCACTCATCTGCATGTCATACTGACTGACAGTATTATTTCTCTTCCCCAGCAGACTCCAAGGGCATTTAAATTAAAGGTACAGTGTTCTGCACTAATATAAAGGCTCTCTGAAGCCTAGAAACACCCTTTTATAAGTTTAAATTCGCAGCGAATATATTCGACCCGAATCGAAATTTTTTCACGAATTCGTTGACCGAATCAGTCAAATCGAATTTTTGAATAATTCGCTCATCTCTATATATAATCATTGACATTTAGGAGGTTCTCCTGGCCATAAGGTGTAAGCCCATATCTGAAACTATGAATATATTGTCAATTACTGAAACACAAATTTGTAAACAAATTGCTTTTCCACCAGTGTTCAAGATACCATTTGAAAAAGTTACTCAGGAACTGCAAAATAGCAAGGACAGATTGCATAAAAGCAGATGTAAAAAGCAAAGTGCAGTTTTTGAAACTTCCTACACATTTAAGAAGTTGCCAAGAAGTGGCAATGGTATAAATAATGCATGCTATGGTCCTAGACTACATGTAAACCTGTTCTATGAAAAGTCATGAGAGAAAATGAATAAGGGCCAGTTCACACCATAGAAACGCTGTCCAGCTGCGTTCGGATGCGCGTTTCTGCATGCGTATTTTTGACACGTTTTTTGCACGTTCTGGTGCATTTTTGGCGCATTCCAGTGTGATTTTCATGCTTTCTGATTCCTTTTTTCCCCTTCTTTTTCTTTAATTCAAATAGGGATATGTGTGTTCTAGTGCATTTTTGGTGCATGTCAGTGTGTTTTTTATGCGTCTTACCACGTTTCAGTACAGTTATGTGCAGGAAAAATGCAGCCTGTTCTACTTGTTTTTCTGCAACTGGAACTCCTGAAACTGCAAGCACTGATGTGAACTATGACAATGACCACCATATAACCTACTTCCTCTGCATTTTGGATGCAGAAAAAAAGCACACTGAAACGCATATAGTGTGAACTGGCCCTAAGGCACAGGGAAAATTTGCCTTATCAATCAGATGGCAGTATTTCATCTTTTACCAGAAAAAAACCGTCTTGTTGGTATTTTGCACAGGTGTCCACCAGTTTCTGACATTGACTTGATGACATTTTTTACCACTCCTCTGTGCAAAATTTCCTCACTTGCAAAATGTTTGTGAGTACCTTGCATGAACTGCCTGTCATAACGGCCAGCCCATAACCTCCATTTTTTTTTAGTTTTTTTTATTTTTGATCCATTTCCTGGTGGATTTGCTAGTGTGTTTAAGGCTGGCCATACCCTATACAATTTTCTGTCCAATTTCTGCCCAATTTCCTTTAGATTTACCTTCAACTATGTAGTGCAAGAGCCTGCCTAATTGGATACAATTGAAAGTGTTGTTAGGTTTGACCTCCTATTATATGGTTTTTGGTAAATCTAAACCAAAAATCTCAAGAAAATTGTATAATGCATAGCCAGTCTTAGATCATTATTGATTTGAATGATCAATATCCACTTTAACTTCACCTCTCAGACAGATGGCCTCAAGCTCAAGTCAAATACATTTTCATATCATGCAGAATTTATAGTTGACTGATGATTGCAAGCTACACTGAAGCAGCAAAGCAACCCCAAACTATAATATTCCCACAGCCATGTTTCACAGTTGGTATGAGATTCTTCTCCTGAAATGCTTTCTTGGGTTTGCAGCAACCATCTCTACCGTTACTGTGGCCAAACAACTCTGAGTTTAATTCATAAGTCCACAGCACCTTGTTCTAGAATGTAGAATGCCTTGTTTGTGCCTTTGTGTTCAATGGCAAATATGGCTATAATTTTATTTTTGAACAGCAAAGACTTTTTTCCTAACACATTTCCCATGCAGGTTAAATTTATAAGATCTATTTCTGATGGTAGATGCATGCACTTTGCCACCATGTAGGCAGGTGGGGACAACTGGTGGCCTCCACTGTACCCAGGAAGCAATGTTTTGCTCTGTCAGGCTGGCAGTGTTGAAAATGATGCAACAAATCAAAGATCACGCAATCACTTCCTCAGTTGCCTAGCAGTGGTAAACATGGCCACTGTTTACTACTGGCACTAGGTGAAGCCAGCATAGGACCAATGTATCCTCTGCCATAGACTCCAGGTGCCATTTTGGGGGGAGTTGTGTAAATCTGGATAGACATAAAAATACTTCTCCGCTCTATCGAAAACAAAAAACTTAGCTTGAGATATATACTTTAATATCCAGTGTGGAGTTCTCATTTAGTTGCATGCCGACCGTGGGCGTGTTAAAATTTGGACCATCATTTCCTTTAAACGTTATATATTGTTTTTTTGCTAACATATTCTCTAAATATTGCATTTTACATGCATGTATGCTGATACATGCAAGCTGCAATTATTCTAATAAGATACAAGACAACTTTTCATGTCCACTACACCTTATTAACATGCCCAAGAAACAAGTGTCCCACTTACTATTTTTTATTGATGCTGTGTTTATGTCTTATGATGCAGAAAGGGTAAACATAAAATATAATTATGCTTTTGTTGTAAGAGCCAAGGATCTATTTATGTGTCTTTTCCTTCACCGCCGTTTACAGGATGATGATACCTTGTTAACATGTTATCCTAAAACTGTCCATCACAGGCTGATGAAAAGATCTCAGTGGTACACTATAAGCCTCTTATTGCACAATGTACTGAAATGAAACTTAAAATATCTCCAAATATCTTTATGACAAAATATGTTTGAACTCTAATCACCAAATCAATTGCCTTATCTATAAAATACAACTTTTTATTATTTTTCTTACCCGGGCATGAGGTTTTAGGCAAGAAAAATATTTAGTGAGCATTATTGGAATTATAGAGGATTTCCAGGAATATTGGCGCTCGCATTTGTTTGTGATTTATGAAGATTGGGGATCCATTCCTTTCCCATCTTCTGGGGTCCAAAAAAAGATTAAGATCTCTAGAATCTAGTTTTCATCAGAGGGCAGCCTCTAGTTTTTATTTTGAATCCTTCTATAGGCAGGGTTATTATTCACCCACCTGAAAAGTTTGGATTCCCAACTTAGGAAAGTAAAATTTTAATATGAAACATACCCAGCCAGTGGTCCCCTATTGATGGACACTATCTAAGCCAATGACCCCTGTTGATAGCCACTAATAAAACCAGTGATCCCCTATTGATAGCCACTATCTAAGCCAGTGATTCCCTCACTGTTTGCCATTATCAAGGCCAATGATCCCCTACTGATAGCCACTTTCTAAGCCAGTGATCCCCCACTGTTTGCCACTATCAAGGCCAATGATCCCCTATTGATAGCCACTATCTAAGTCAGTGGTCCCCAATTGATAGCCACTAGTGCTTCAGCATATATTCAAAGGGATTCATGTGTTATTATTGGAGGATAATCTGATAAAACACCTGAGTCCTGTAGTGACAAGGGGGTGAGCAATTCTTCTTTCTAATATTCTCTTTTTTTACATATTCAGTTTAATTAGTTAAATGAGATAAGACTTAGTTGTGGGGGGAGGGGGAAATCCATGATATCATCTGGCTGCAGAAATGTCAGCTGGCAACCTTTTACCATGCTTAGTTAAAAGTTCAGTTCTTATTTGCAAAGGACTTTATACAGATCTTCAGGAATGTTTACATCTAGTACCTTTGACATTAGCCAGAGCTCATTAACCAACAAGGATGTCAACCAACAGTGAATGCGATCTGCTGATCGTGTACAAACTCCAGAGTGCGTACAAAATATTTTTTGCCAGTTTTAAATCTTAAAGTGTTACTAAACCCACAACAGTAAAATCAGTCTGTATATGCAGTAAAGCATGCTTGTTGAGTCACTCTGCTCATGCTCAGTTTGGTGTGTATTGCTAGAGAGGGTTTTTTTTCTTGGGAGAGTGAATGTGATCAGCACAGGGCCAATCAGTACTGTCCAGACAGAGGTAATGGGTTTTGTATCCACCTAGAGCAAAATGAAAACTCCTCCCACAAGCTCTAACATATGCTTGGCTGGACACTGATAGAAGCAGGGCCGTCTTTAAGGAGGGGAAGCTGCCCTGGGCCAGGTCATTGTTGTGGGGCCCAAAGTAGCTGCCTAATACTTGCCAACTGATATCTCAGTGTGAAGTGCTATCACTTATGCTGCCCTTATGCTGCTGTCCTATTGCCATGTACAGATGACTCATGTGTGCAAACCATGTCAACATTCACATGTAAATAACGGCAGCATTCATATGTAAATAGCTGCATAGTGGCATTTTTTTGTAAATAGTGGCAGCATTCATGCCCCCCCCAGGTTCTAGCCACCAACACCTCTGCTGGTGGTCAATGTTAATTTCGCCCTTACATTGGTGGACAGTGTAGATATGTATTGGTTGTTGACGTAAAATCCCCCAAACATTGGTTGTCAGTGTAAATTCTTCAATACATTAGTGGTCAGTGCAAATTCCCCATTATATTTGTGGCAAATGTAAATTTCTGTGTAAATTTCCCTTTACATTGGTGGTAAG